CCGAGGGTCCTGCCGTGATCTGAGGATGTCGGCGCTGATGGGCCTATCGTCAGATGAAGGCAGGGATCGCCATCTAGGAAAAGAATGGCGAGCCCACTCGCTAACTCAAGACGCTTGGCGCTGAGGTGGCCGTTCTTGAGATTAAGGATCATGTCGAGGTTGTGGGGCCGTTCGTGATCTAAGGACGACATCATTGATGGGTCGTACGTCGTATAAAAGCGATGGTCCCCATCCTGAAAGGGATGAAGAGCCCTATCGCGTGCTCAAGACGCTCGGCATTGGGAGACAATCTTAAGATGAAGGATCACGTTGAGGATGAGGAGTCGTTTGTGATATGAGGGCGACGAAACTGAGTGGTCGTTCGTCATATCAAGGACCAAGCTTTGAAGTTATCCTGAAGATGAAGGACGGCGTTGGGGATGCTCGTCCTTTGGTGAAGGGCTGGGCATTGTCGCCCACCTGAAGATGGACGGGGTTAGATGCCCGTCCTCTGATGACGACGACGCTGATGAAGTCGTTCGTCATATGAAGGATCAGGCCGTCATATGAAGGACTAGGCTTTCATGGTGGCCTGAAGTTGAAGGACGGCTCTGGACGCACGTCCCTCGATGACTACGGCGTTGATGAAGTCATGCGTAATGTGAAGGACCATGCTTTCATGCTGGCCTGGAGTTGAAGATGAAGGGGGGCGTTGGACGAACGTCCCTTGATGACGATGGCGCTGATGAAGTCGTTCGTCATATGAAGGATCAGGCTTTTATGCTGGCCTGAAGTTGAAGGACAGTGCTAGACGCACGTCCCTTGATGACTACGGCGCTGATGAAGCCATGCGTCATATGAGGGACCAGGCTCTGGCACTGACATGAAGATGGACGGCGCTGGACGCACGTCCCTTGATGACGACGGTGCTGTTGAAGTCGTACGTCATATGAAGGATCAGGTTTTTATGTTGGACTGAAGTTGAAGGACGACGTTGGGGACGTTCGTCCTTTGATGAAGGACGGTGCTGATGAAGCCGTACTTCTGGTGATGGACAAAGTGTTGATGACGCTCGTCTGATAACGAAGGACGGTGTGGGACGCTCGTCTGATCCGCATGTATGGTCTTGCTTCGTCCATAATGCATAGTTGTACCTGATATGTACTTAGCCAAATATGTGGCTTGATTTGTGGGGATTTTATTTTTATTGCTTGAGGCCGACGAGTGTACGGCCCTTCGGCTGTCCCTCTTTTATTTGTGGGGTTTTCGCTTGAGGCCGGCGAGTGCACGGTCCTTCGACTTTCCCTCTTTTATTTCTTCCTCTTTACTTCTTTGAGCAAGGAGTGGGGTCCTTCTTTCAGGCTCGACCGAGGGGGTTGCTATTCCCTCGGCCGATAGGGAGTCCGGGAGGGCGGCTGTTAGCCCTCTGGCGCTGGATCGCCCCTTGGTCTTGGGGGTCCCGTCACCTATTTACGGCGCGGGCTAGGCTTATGGTTGGTTACCGACGGCTGCCGTTTCCCAATCCCAAGTGTGTGGATTTTGTCATCTCGACCATTCTTTCAGGTTTGTCGCCGTGCGATTTAACGCGAGGACGACGCGATGAGCTTCCCGTTTCAAGACGCGGGCCATTTCACAGGTCCCTCGTCCTGGGACATGGTCAGCCATACCTGAGCGTTTCACTTAGGGGTGGGCAAAATAACCGAACCGGCATGATACCGAATCGGACCGGTATGGTACCGGACCGGAAAACGGGATTTCAAACGGTTCTCAAAAATTTTGTCCCGAACCGGACCGGACTGATTCCAAACCATGCCATAACCGGTTCTCATTTTATGAGAACCGGTACCGGACCTAACCGAATTATAATTTTATTAATTTATATAATTTTATAATTATATATACATGTATACCATATTACCACTAATTACTTTGATTACTCATTTGCACTTTGCTAATTGCTAGTTAATAAGATCGATAAAAATGAATAGTATTATATGAAATTCATTAACTGTGTTATTGTTAGTTATTTATGTTTTGTACTATTATAGTTTATAAGAAATTCATTAACTGTATAATACTACCTCTGTTCCAAAAAACTTTTCCATTTTCAAAACTTTGACCAATTATATTTTTTATTGAGAATTATTTATAATATAAAAATTATATGAAAATGTTCTTTGTTAAAAATACTTTCATAAAAGTATAAAATTTATAACTTCTATAATACTCTATACTAATCAAAATCATGGTTCAAATTTTTTGAAATGACAAAGTTTTTTAGGACGGAGGTAGTATGAAAATTGATAATTGTGTGGATTTTTGGATGATGACTAAGTTTTAATTTATCGAAAAAAGTGGCATTGTTTGGCATTGGTATGGCATGGTACCGGACCATTTGAAAATGAAACCGAACCGAACGGGTTTAGGTCTAAGACCGAACCGAACCGAACCATTTCAATAATAACGGTCCGGGTACGGGTTCGGTAAAATATTGGACCGGACCGGACCGGACCGCGCCCACCCCTAGTTTCACTCTAAGGGTCTGAAACGATGTTCTTCGTGGAGATTTTGTCACCTCGGCCTTCTTTCAGGCTTGCCGCCGTGCGATTTAGCGTGAGGGCGACACGGTGAGCTTCTCATTTCAAGACGTGGGCCATATTGCAGGTCCCTCGTCCTGGGATGTCGTCAGCCATATCTGAGCGTTTCGCTCTAAGGGGTCGATACGATGTGCTGTGCTTTGTGGCCTCCTTTGAGGACGGCGGCGCTGATGAAGCCGGTCCTTCACTAAAGGACAATGATAAGCACGATAATTACCTATATTTTATATAGGTAATTATGATTATCTGTACGAATATTCAGAGCTGAAACAGGTAAAAATCTTCACAACTTATCAATGGATATAACCCTTTTGGTATGAATAGTTTATCGGTCTGGGCATGGATGTTCTTATTGGAAGGTTTTAGTTGCAGTGAATGAAGATTTCTTCTTGTGCGGGATCAACTAGGTGAAGAACTCAAGACGGTATATCATGAGGATGCAAAAAATGTGTACTTTTTTTCCTGTTTTATCGTCTTGTAGATGTACTTATCCCAATTCAAGTAAAATCGCACAAAGGCGTCAAAAGATGAAGAAACGGGTGTCAATAGTCAAAAGGGGTCGAGAACAGGCACTTCGGGATCAACTACGGTTGTAAAACGGAGCGAAACATGAAATATTACACAACAGGGGAGAACCGGCGCCGGTCCACCCCTATAACCGGTGCCAAGGGACTATGAAATGAAGAATAGCTACTTCAATGCTATGCCTCAATTTCATGGTCTTCCGGGGGAGAATCCACTTAACTTCATCACTGAGTTCTATGGATTCATCCAAGGAATTCCTAGGCATGGTCTCTCCGAGGATGACCTCAAACTCAAAAGCTTTCCCTACACTTTGAAAGGGGTGGCAAGGGGATGATTCTTGGAGCAAACACCGGCGACTTTTACAACGTGGGAAGGTATCTATAATGCTTTCATTTCTAAGTATTACACACCCACGATGACTCAAGAGCTAAGGCAACGAACCTTCAACTTCAAACAACAAGTTGGAGAACTATTCCAAGACGCTTGGAGGCGTTTCAAGGCCTTGTTGAAGGAATGCCCACACCACCGCATTGCCCTTGATCTTCAAATTGACACATTCTACGATGGTTTGAATTCTTCATGCAAGCCATTGTAGATAACCGTGCGAAGGGCTATATTGGCAACAAAACTGAAATGGAGGCGTTGAGAATCCTCGAATCCATTGCTTCAAATCCTCAATTACAAGGAGGAGATACCAAAATGGTCAGTGTGAGTGAGGTGTCCATAGCTCATGAATTGGACAAACGATTTGTTGATTTTCAACAAGCCATGCACAAAGATCTTCAAGCTTCCATTCACACGACTCTACAAGCCGTGATTGAAGGGGTTAATCAAGTGTCCAATATGGAGAGTATATCACAACCGAAAGGTAATTCACCTCAAACTATTGAAGATGTGAATTATATGAATTCATATGGGAATAGGGGCAATCAAGGAGGCAATTACTACCCCAACAATCAACAAAGGTGGAACCAAGGCACCTCTTGGAAACCACAAGGAGGACCTTCTAACCCCTCATCCGAATTTTCACAAGGGCAAACTGTAACACCTCCAATTTCCCGCCCAAAAATAATCAGGTTTGGCGAAAAATAATTTTTTATATAATACTATATAAAAATGACACACTCCACCAAAATTCTTTTCTCTTGGATATTTCTCAAAATCACTTCTTTACTAAGGTCTTCAACTTTTCTTCGAAGATACTATAGTAACCCTTCTCTTAGAATTTCTCAAAATTCACTTCTTCTCTATCTTCCTAGTAATTTAGAAGGGCGATGCTCAACACTCTGGTTGAGCCCGGTGGTTACGTTATTATGTACGGCCACCCCGGGACTTTTGCCGGTACCACAATTGTTAATGGAAACGAAACGACTACCATAAGTGTGCACACCTCCTAAAAGGGATTCCAAACCCTCTCAATAGTATGTCGTAACGAGTAGCCGAGACTCAGTCTACCAACTACCTCACCTTTAAAATTCTTGAATGATTAGGGACTACTACTACTACAACTTCTTCTTAAAAGGGATCATAGATCCAAATGTCACTTCAAACTCAAATTGTACTTCTTAGTAGTAGCAGCCCTAATCACCCTCCACATTTATCCGGATGTGGAAAACCGACACCACGGATTTCTCCCGGGTGCTCACCTCTTATGAAAACGTAAATTTTATCTTGACTTTAGATTTACTTCCAAAAATATTTCTCAATCCCTCTAAATAGTCTCAAGAGTATTTAAAAATATTTAATACCCAAAAGTACTTAGTTTTCACTTCTCAAATACCATAGATCTGATATCTCCTCAAAATTACATACACATAATTCAAAATTCACACTTAATCACATAATGCATAATAAGCATATAATACGAGGAAACAATTTTGGATTGGCAGAGAAACTTACCTCAAATCCGATGCTCCCAATTCTCTTCCTCAATTCCGATCTCTATGTATTCACCTTTTTAATTAAACTGATATAATTAGTCACTTATTCTATTTGTTAATAATTCATCCGATTTTCCACTTTTTATTTTATTATTCGCATATACTAACATTATTAATTAATTATACGTGTTTATATTATTACTCACTTTTATTGATCAAGTCACTAGGCCAATAATTCGAATTTAATTCTTCTATCAATTTCATTCCTTACTTTACTATTTTTAATTCGGTTTTTCTTTTATTTACTATTACTAATCCAACCTCTGCATATATAATTAGTTTACTATCATCAGCAATTAAAATTGTTGTTATTAATCTAATACTTATAAAATACTAGATCCGAAATGTATATTATTAAAGATAATAGATCCGAATTATAAAATTTCTCTAATTGACTTTATTTAGTCCATCTTAACTAATCCATTAAAATAATCCAAAATTAATTACACTGAGCCCGTAATATGTTAATTCTATTAATCTACTTCAATTAATTCAATAATTAGTGAAAAATAATGTCTATCCAATTTTATTAAATCTGCCCATGTTACTAAGTCCAAATAAACAACTATTATTTTAATATAATATTCATTTATAAGTTTTTATTAGTTAAATCGTCATTTCATTTTATCATTTAGCATCATCTAATTATGTTAAATAACAATTAACAAATTTATCCAAGCGATTACTATCAATAAACCAAGTCAATTTCATCATCAATATTTCTCATCTCAAATTTATTCAATTTGTAGCTTATTATTATTATTTTATTATTTATTATTGTTGTTATTAGTAGTAGTTCAGTATTTACAAGTAATCGGCCAACCTAACCATTAGCAAACTTATATGGTCTGGCCATTTGTACAATTCCAGTTCAATCCACCAAATGATTCAACCATCGAGTTGTTTATATGATTATTGTTAATGGTCTAATGAATATAATCAGCCCACACAACTTATAATATTTAATTTTGTTATTAAACATTCAGCCCAGTTGTTTTATAAAATTTCAGCCCCAATCCCCAAATAAACACTTAGCCAGTCTGCTCGCATGAACTACGTACGTATATACTACTCCCTACATAACTTTGTCTTCTTCGCACAAGCACCGGAAAAATGCAAGGGGTAGCCGGCTTACCTTATTGATGACAAGAGAGTTGGTACAGTGGTGGCAGAGGACGTCTCAGGCCGACCTGGTAGCAGCGAAGTGGTCTGGCGGCAACAGTAGTTACTTCTCCAATTGTGAAAACCAGTCCGGCGGCTTCTCCCTCCTTCGTTCGGTGGCGAACCAGCAAACGTGGCACCGTTGCAGCAACTCCCCGAAACTTCCTCTTCGGATGTAATATCAGGCTGACAGCCCTGGTTCACGAGTGATCCTGGCCGGCGTCGTCACACTCCACGTATAACCAGTCCGGCGACACTCCGGTGTGGCGATGGGTTGTGCGACGGAAACGGTTCCGGCTGGACTCTCCACTCCAACGAGGTGGCGACGCAACTGTCCGTCCAGTATCTGGCACGACCTGGCGGTTCCCTCCCTCTCCAACACAGAAAACTAGTCCGGCTGCAATTCCGGCAAGATCTTTCTTCCTCCGGTGGCGATACACTCCCTCTCGGTCTCTCTTTACCTCTTTTTCTCTCGCTGGTCGGAAGTCTTAAGGTGTCTTTTAGCTATTGTTTTTGGTATATATTATATACATAATTATATGAACGTAGATATATGTGTACGTTTGGTTGTTCATAGGTTATTAGGCCAGCTCTTCTCTAGCATATACATGTGAATGTGCGTTGAAATACATGACTCCATGCTGAGTGTACTCTTTGGCCTCTTCTAATTATCATTGTACGTATACATGATAAGTGTGCTACTCTGAGCATGTGAGTTGGTTGGTTGCTCAGGGATCAGGTTTGTGAATAATGAATATGTATAGTCTATACTCTCTAGGTTCATTGTATCACCTAAGTGTTACCTATATTATTGTGTAGTAGAATATAAGAATTTCAGGCAGGTCATATGTGGTACGTACCAGCATTACATTTGTATTTTATCAATCCTTATATTATTATGCATATATTTCGTTGAGCATGCATGTACGAAGTATATATATTTGTTTGAAAAGTCCACTCATTCTTATTTTTGAACACATATTATTTACCGATAGTTTTGAATTAAAATTGTTAAAATGTCATTTTTATTATTTATGTCATATGTATAATTATCACTTGTTACAAAAATGTCACTTTTGTTATTTAAGTCAAGGTCCTATCTGTTCAACCTAATTATTATAAAGTCGTCACTTTTATTATTGAAACATTTTTATCTGATTAAAAATGTCACTTGTGTTAAAATTTTATTTGATCCACTTAATTATTAAAATGTTCCTTTCGTAACATTTTGCTAACTAATAAGTTTTATTTATCTTATTTAAAATTTTCGAGGTATCACATTCTACCCTTCTTAAAAGATATTTCGTCCCGAAACATAAACTAAAGAGGATTTATCCACAAATGAATATCACATCTTTAATATTAAATTCTTTTTATTAAGTTTATGGAGTGTCACATTCTACCCTTCTTAAAATATGTTTCGTTCCGAAACATAAACTAAAGAAGATTTATCCACAAATGAATATCACATCTTTAATATTAAATTCTTTTTATTAAGTTTATGGAGTGTCACATTCTACCCCCTTAAAGATGCTTCATCCCGAAGCATAAGCTAATAAAATATCCTATAATTTAAGTGGTATTACATTCTACCCCTCTAAAAACAAGGTTACGTTCTCGTAACCAAAACATTACCTTAGTCAAATAACTCTGGATAGCGGTTGCGCATATCATCTTCGGACTCCCAAGTGGCGTTTTCGGCTAAGTGGTTAGACCACAATACCTTTACCATTTTAACTGACTTTCTCCTAGTCTCACGAGTTTTGGTATCAAAGATCTGGATAGGCGTTTCCTCATAAGTCAATGTTTCGTCCAACTCGACCACCTAATTAAGTCGATGTTAGACATGTGGAATTTGATTTCGAATATTGTAAGGTGATTATTTGTACCTCAGGGTTAAGGATATGTGATTCGTCGCGGACATACTTCTTCAATTGTGAAATATGGAAAACGTTGTGTACCTAAGTATATCACATGTTAGTATTTGAGAGGCACTTACTATTACACTTACCATCGAGAGGTTTTAAGGTGTGTCTTACCTTAGCCAACTCCATGGGTAAAGCTAAACGGTATGCCAATCGTCCCACTCGTTCAAGGATATCATACAGGCCGATGAACCTTGGGCTTAGCTTTCCCTTCTTTCTGAATCTCATTACCCCCTTCGTCGGGGAGACTTTGAGTAGGACTTTTTCTCCCACTTCAAATTCAGCTAGCTTCCTCCCTAAGTCTGCATAAGACTTCTGACGATCTTGTGCAGCTTTCATCCTGGCTTGAATCAGCTTCACCTTCTCCATGGTGTCATGTAGGTATTCTGGTCCTAGCACCACCTTGTCTGTCAAGTCGCTCCAGTACAGTGGACTTCTACATTTTTGACCATATAAAGCTTCGTACGGGGCCATCTTGATACTGACGTGGTAGCTATTGTTGTATGAAAACTCTATTAAGTCTAAGTGCTCATCCCATGACCCTTGTAAGTCTAACATACATGCTCTCAGCATGTCCTCAAGGGTTTGGATTGTTCGCTCAGTTTGTCCATCAGTGGTTGGGTGAAAGGCTGTACTCAGCTTCAGTTTCGTCCCCATAGCAGCTTGCAATTCCTTCCAGAATTGAGATAGAAACCTAAAATCACGGTCAGAAACAATATCCTGTGGAACTCCATGGTATTTAACTACGTGTTTGATGTAGGCTCGAGCTAACTCGTCCATGCTCCAGGTCTCTTTCATCGGGATAAAGCGAGCGGTCTTCGTTAACCGATCAACTATAACCCAAACCTTGTCTTTGCCAGACTTGGTTAGGGGTAAGCCCCCAACAAAGTCCATGGAGATAGAATCCCATTTCCATTTTGGCACCTCCAAAGGTTGTACGAGTCCCTTGGGTTTGCAACGTTCGGCTTTCACCTTCTGGCAGTTCAAGCATCGAGCAACGAATTCAGCTACCTCTTTCTTCATCTTTGGCCACCAAAAGTTCTTTTTTATGTCTTTGTAGAGTTTGTCGCCTCCAGGGTGCACCGAGTAAGGCGCGTTGTGCCCTTCCTCCATAATTTTCTTCTTAAGTTCTTCACATTTCATCGGGACACACCACCTTCCTTTGTGTCGAATGCTCCCGTCTTCGTGCAGTTCGAACGGACCATTTACACCATTTGTCATGCCTGCTCGGATTCTGTCCAGCTTTATGTCACCAGGCTGCCCTTCTCTAATTTCGTCAAAAATAGATGGGGTAACGGTCATGGTGAGTAACCGCATTTCCCGATCTACCTCTCCGAAATCCCGTACCTCCATGTCTAGTTTTTGGAAGTCCCGATATAGCTCATCAGATAGTATCCATGTTGCTCTGTAGGAGTGGGTTGATTTTCGGCTCAATGCATCGGCAACTACGTTTGCTTTCCCTTCATGGTACTGAATTTCCAAGTCGTAGTCCTTGACGAGTTCTAGCCAACGTCTTTGTCTCATGTTAAGCTCCTTTTGGGTGAAGATGTACTTTAGGCTCTTGTGATCGGTGTAAATTTTACATTGTACCCCATATAGATAGTGCCTCCATAGTTTTAAGGCGAAGATAACCGCTGCCAGTTCCAAGTCATGGGTCGGGTAGTTGACCTCATGGGTCTTCAGTTATCTTGATGCATAGGCCACCACTTTGCCATTTTGCATCAATACGCAACCCAACCCTTTTAGGCAAGCATCGGTGTAAACCTTGAACCCCTCGGTACCGGATGGTAGGGTCAAGACAGGTGCAGTTGTTAATCTTTGCTTCAGCGCTTGGAAAGCTTTCTTGCATTCATCACTCCATATGTACTTCATGGTCTTCTTCGTGAGATTAGTCAAAGGTTTTGCTATCTTTGAGAAATCCTTCACGAATCTGCGATAATAGCCCTCCAAACCTAGAAAGCTCAGGACCTCCGTCACGGTTGTGGGTGTAGGCCAGTCTAACACTGCTTTGATCTTTGATGGATCAACGGATACACCTTCTTGGGTGATGACGTGGCCCAAGAGTGCTACCTGATCCTTCCAGAATTCACACTTTGAGAGTTTGGCATAGAGCCGATTCTCTCTCAAAGTTTGCAATGCTATCCTCAAATGTTCTTCGTGCTCTTTTGGTGTCTTAGAGTACACCAGGATGTCGTTGATGAATACAATAGTAAACAAGTCGAGGTAGGGTCGGAACACACGGTTCATGAGGTCCATAAATACCGCAGGCGCATTTGTTAGTCCGAACGGCATCACGGTGAACTCATAGTGCTCGTACCTCGTTCGAAAAGCTGTCTTCAGAGTGTCTTTCTCAGCAATCCTCACTTGATGGTACCCGGATCTTAGGTCAACTTTGGAGAACGTGCTAGCTCCCTTCAGTTGATCAAAGAGGTCATCAATGCGAGGCAACATATATTTGTTTTTGACGGTTGCTTTGTTCAACTCCCTATAATCGATGCATAGTCTCAAGCTCCCATCCTTGTTCTTTACAAACAAGACCGGAGCGCCCCAAGGTGAGACACTTGGTTTGATGTAGCCCTTCTCCAACAGATCTTCGAGTTGTTCCTTCAGCTCTTGCATTTCTTTTGGTGCCATTCGGTATGGTGCCTTCGAAATGGGTGCGGTGCCCGACACCAGATCAATTGAAAACTCGACTTCCCTCTCCGGCGGCATTCCTAGAATTTCTTCCGGAAATACATCCGGAAATTCATTGACCACATGGATTTGGTCAATGGTCGGCTCTTCCGATGTTAAGTCTTGGATCATGCATAAGTAAACTTCATACCCCTTCCGGACGTATCGTTTGACTTGTTACATTGTTGCCAGCTTCACGCCTGGCTGAGATGTAACCATTTTGTAGGACACACGCTTCTTGTGGGGTCCTCTCAAGACCATCTTTTGTTCATCACAAAGAATCCTCGCCTTATATTTTTCTAACCAGTCCATTCCCAACACCACGTCGATATCCTCCAAGTCAAATTGGATTAGATCTCCGGGTAGTTCGGTATCGGATATGACTATAGAAACATTGGAGAAAACACTCTCGCAAGCTGCAACTTTATTAGATGCTGTTTTTACATTAAGATTGAGTGTAGCGGTAGGTTCTAACTTTAACTTTTCTACAAGTTTTGAGGATATAAAACTGTGGGATGCACCCGAATCAAACAGTATATGAGCAGGTGTGGAATTTACAAGGAATGTACCTGACACCACGTCGTTGGCATTTGCCTGAGCTTGGTTCATGACATAGATTCGGCCTTGATTATTGTTCTGCCCTCCCTGGCCCTGGTTACGATTGCCTTCCTCCGGACGGTTGCCGGGGTTACCATGGTTACTGTTAACGTGATTACCCCCACCCCCGACTTGGCCATTCCCCTGATTGTGCACCCCTTGGTTTTGGCCCTGGGTTTGGGACCTCTTCTCATTCCGACACTCATATGCCCTATGCCCCATGAGGTTGCAGTTGTAGCACTTCACCGGATTACCTACACAATCTGCTCCAGGGTGGTTGTTCGGGCAGAGTTTGCACTTGTA